GGAGGAGGAGGAGGAGGAGGAGGAGGAGGAGGAAGAGGAGGGGAAAGAAGAGGAGGAAAAGGATGAGGAAGAGGGTCAGGGTCAGCCAACAGGCAACACCTGGTGGCGGAAATTGCAGATCATGAATGAATACCTGTGGGATCCGGAGAAAAGGATGTCTCTGGCCCGAACAGGTCAGAGTTGGAGTAAGTCCCGGTTGTCCCAATGCCCCAGTAGGGTGTCCTTTCCTTTTGGCTTGGTGTCCAGGACTCCTTTACCATACGTTGGATGGGCTTGTCTGCAAACTTCTCTTAGATATCATGTAAAAGGATCAATGCTTAGGGAAATGCCTGGACTATGGGCAGATCCCATCAGAACAAACTCCAAGTGAGTGAACAAACTTGATTGTATGGCTGAAATCCACTGGACTCAAAATCATTTGCAATGCAGAGAGACTTTAAGAATGAGTTGGAAAAGCACAGAAATTTTTTGAAGTCCCAGCCCTGTCACCTTCTATCTGTGTGACCTTGGGCTTATCATTTACCCTCACTGAGCCTCAGTTTCTTCACCCACCAAATGAAGGAAACAATCCCTGCCTCACCACACTCACAGGATCAGCCTGAGGCTCTAACAAGATGTTATAATTGTAAAGTTGAAAATACTCTGCAAACTACTTGTAGGATATGAGACCCAAATCCCTGCTAACCTGAACAAAGATTTATAAAGCCTCATCATTTCACCTAGAAATGTCAGAGAAGGAGAGTCAGGAGGCCTGCCCCTGGCCCCAGCTTTTTGGTGCTTTACATTTCCATCATGTACACAGACAAATTAGGTTTAAAGGATCATTTGTAGAGATTAAAGCTGAGCCCCTGCATCACTTGGTCAATAGCAGAATCACATTCCTTAGGATTTCCTCTTTGTACCACATGCTGCCACCATTTTCACTTCACAACTTCCCCAGCACTCCTCTCCCAGGGTCCTACTCACCTCTTGAACTATTAGTGCTGAGCCTTCTCCTCAGGAGATTTTGCCTGTGGTCAAATTCACACTTGCCACACTCCCTGCACAGCCCAGAAAAAGAGCAGCTGCTGGTTTGGAGAAGAAGAAAAAAAAAAAAAAATAGAGGACTCCATGGGTGAGATAAGAGTTCCCTAGTGCCAAGGGTCTAGGTTGCTGAAGTTGATGGTCATGCCTTATAGAGGCCCCTTTGGCTGAGAACTCTCTCCCTCATCCTTTATGTTTCTAATTTATCTCAGTCAGGGTGAAACAGCCAGCCCTGCTTCCTGGAATTAAGAATAGCAAGTGTGGGACTCTGAACAATGTCCACCTCCCTTCACCCTTCCTCAGTTCTCAGCCCCACCCCTGCCCATCCCTCGAACTCTCAAGTGGAACAAATGTACCATTCAGGGAACATTCTGACATTCTGGAAGCTGCAGACAAATGCTGGACACTCATTGGGGCTCCAAAGGGGGCACAGCTGTTTCTCCTCTGCCTAAAGAGGACTGGAAAAACAGGCCTTGTGAAATGCAAGTGAGATTCTGGGAGAGGGTGCCCTGCATTAACCCCCAAATAGCCAGCAATTACAACTTCAGCAGATGAGCTTATTCAAATCGCTCCCAGAGAGAATAAGCGATAGGCCAGTAAGTGGGGATGAGGGAAGAAGGTTCAAGTGCCCAGGGAAGATATGGCAGTGGGGACACTGCACAGTAGACCCTTTCCAGGTATCTGGGTAGCAGGTCTAAGGACAGTCCAGGAATTCTGGCTGCTTCTATTCAGCTACCTCTGGGCAAAGGGAAAATAGTGGTCCTAATGTCTTGGCCACCAAGCATATACCTTGCTGCCCTCTTGCTTGAGAACTAGCTGCCCACTTGAGCTTGCACAGCAACATGACCAACATATTCACCTGCTTATTATTATATTATGAGCTTTTCTTTTGGTAGCTGGGCAACCTCTATTGTTAGGAACTATATGTTATTTTATTGGATACTGACAAGAACCATATGAGGTAGTAATATTATTATCCCCATTTTACAGATGCAGAAACTGAGGCTTAGAGAGGGTAAGTAACTTGTCTAAAGTCACATAGTTAATAAGTGGCAGTACTGGGAGTCAAACTCAGATTGGATGAACACTGAAGTTCATTCTCTTGCCAGAACACTACACTGTCTTCATGAACTGTAGCAATGAGCAAGGCCTTGATGGATAGGGCCTCAGGAACTGATGGGGGTGTTTTGGTGGGAGGAGTGAAGAGTTGTGATCATGGGTACCTAGTCTATCCAAGATATCCAGGTCTACCCATGCTTGGGTGGGGCATTCAGGAGAGAACCTTGGATTACCTACAGGAGTGGCCAATGAAAACTTGGACATCCCAAGCAGAAAGGGTGGGTGGGGTAAATGAGTTCAGATGGGTATGATGCTTGGTTTTGTCTGTGGCTAAGACTCTAGGGCACAGACTCTTGGGTAAGGCTGAGAGGATTCATTGCCAGTGCCATTCTCCCATCTACAGCTTCCTGGCCACACATCCTAGGCAAGAAGTTAGATGTTTCCAAGGGAGTTTACCTGTATTCTATTGCTTTCCTTTCATCCATGAAACTAAGTCTTCCAGCCCCCCAGCATAGCTTTAGCTGTTGGTCCATTGCTACGATGGGGATGAGGGTAAAGGAATGGAAGAGATGGCATAGGGCACATCCCTTTAGGACAGCCACTGGGCAGTAGCCAAGTATTACAGGCACAGAGGTGCTGCAATTTCTTCTCCAGGGACTCCAGCTGAATCAATGTGTTCATATTCCAGTTCTGCTTTAGTTTATTTTATAAAACATAAATGTTCCACTTCTAGTTGGATTACTAAGGATTATTTTCTCCTTTTCCAATCACTTCTTGGTTTATTTTATTTGTTTTATGGTACAATTTAAAAATTAATATTTGGAATTGGTTTTGGGTACAGCAAAGTTATGTGGTTTGTTCCAGTTTCTGGTTCATGATTCAGTTTGAATGTGTAGCTCCAACATCATGTAACTGTTGTGAGCAGAGCCAGATATTGTTGGCTGAAAGAATCCAAGGAGGACTTGAAAAGAGCTTCTCAACAACAATTTCACTCTTATTTACCTCACTCTGTACTGCCTAATCCTGGGCAAAGTGAATTATAATATAGCCCCCAGAGGAGGAATTCACACAACTATGCTTCTGGTCCTATAACAATAATAAAATTAATAATAACAATGATGAATACTGCCATTTGTAGGATACTTGGTATCTGCCAGGCTGTGCTATGCTATTTATATGCATTATTCAAGTACTATTATTGTCCTCATTTTACAGATTAGGACATTGAGGTTCAGAGAGGTGAACACCATGTCTAAGATTAAACAGTTGGGAAGTGGTAAGGTCAGGATAGGATATAAGGAAACACTGAATCCCAGATGCAGTTGTTCCTCCTTATCTGCAGGGGATATATTCCAAGACCCCCAGGGGATGCTTGAACCCTATATATACTATGTTTTTCCCCCTGTACGTACATACCTATGATAAAGTTTAGTCTATGAATTAAGCACAGTAATAGACTGACAACAATAACTAATCATAAAATAAATAAAAAATTATAACAATATCCTACAATAAAAGTTATGTGAATGTGGAATTATTCAATAAAATAAGGGTTACTTCAACACAAGCATACTTGTGATACTGTGACAGACAATCTGATAACCAACATAGGTACCAAGTGACTAATGAGTGGGGAGCATATGTAGTGTGGCTATGCTGAACAAGGGGATGATTCATGTCCTGGACGGAATGGAGTGGGAAGGCATAAGATTTCATCATGTTACTCAGATGGCACAGAATTTAAAACATATGAATTGCTTATTTTGGGGATTTTCCATTTGATATTTTTGGAGCACGTTTTTGGCCATGGTAACTGAAACCATGGAAAACAAAACCGTGGAAAAAGTGGGGGCTACTGTACTGTTACAGATGTAGAGAATGATAAGAGGTAAGTGCTCAACTTATTCCCATTTTGCCTATGAGGAATCTTGGGTGCAGAGAAGTTCTGTAATTTTCTCATGCTCACAGGTAGGGCTCACAGGTAGCAAGTATCAGTAATTAAGTACAGTTTCCTACTCTTCCCTCTTCTGTCCTGTGTTAGTGTTATTTTTGAAAAGCAGAGCCACTTAAACTTTTGCTAAAGATGAATAAGATGTGAAATAAGTAGGGTGAAACCTCACTTTACCTTGATTAGAGTCCCATGGAAATTAATCAAAAGTTTGAATTATAGGCTATGTGAAAAGAAATGCTGTTTCCATCCCTTGCAAATATCTATAATCACTGGAACCAAGCTGCTAGGACTCTTCAGGGCACCTGCTTTAATGAATAGTGAAGAATGATTTGTATACTTAGGACATCAACTGTTGCCCAGAGGACTCCCAAGCAATTTACCCGCTGCAGTACTTTAAACTCCACTCCTCTGTAATGTTGTTCATGGTCGTCATTTGCTCAGCAAGCCCTTCCATCAGAGATGCTGTAAAGGTAAACTGCAATCAGACCTCAGACACAAGTCTCACCAGTTCCAAATTGGTGAAATCTGAATGAGCAAGGGTGGATATACTGAATCTAGGGAGTTGAAAAAAAAAAAAAAAGCCATCTCATGTTTGAGTTAATTCTGGTTCATAAGTTCAAGTGAGGAGGCAGAGCTTGCTGGCAAGCACTGACCACTTTCATCTTTGATTGTTCTGCAGGCCTGATCTTAGTCATTTACTTCTTTTTCTACGCTTCTCTGGCTGCTGTGATCACTCTCTGCATGTACACGCTATTTCTGACCATTGGCCCTTACATGCCAACCTTCTCTGAGAGGGTGAAGCCTCCTGGTGAGTGTCCAAATGCCCTGTGCTATCAGAACTTGCTGGACAGAATCTGCTTGCACAGCATGTTTGGCCTCAATTAACTTTGGCTCTTCCCGGTAATGACTTAGGGATTCAATTATTAAGAGTAAAAGTAAAAAGGTAGTTGGCAAATTATGGTCCTTTTCATTTTGATTGCCTGGGGTGGGGAGAGGTTTCATGGGAATCAATACCAAAAAATTATCCCAAGAATGGGTTAATATATCCAAGATCTGTTTTCATTGCCAGGAGTTATGATCAGACCCTTCGCCCATAGCCTTAACTTCAACTTCAACGTTTCTGAACCTGACACTTGGCAGCATTATGTGATTAGCCTAAATGGCTTTCTCCAGGGTAAGTAAGTTCCTCTGAATGGTGCAAATCTCTTTGGAAAGGTGATGGGTAGGAATTCACAATTCACCTGACTCACTCTTACTAACCCCAGCCCATCCTGGTCTTTCCTTACATTGCATCTCCCTCAGAACCTGTAAATATGATCAAAACTGCTCTAATTTATGATTGTATGTTGCCTTGAAAACATATGTCAACTTTCCAGCAATATGATAAGTCCATTGGAGGCAGAGAGCTTGTCTTCTCTTCTTGAACACTCTACAGCATCTAGTTATGTCCTGGGCACATCCAGATGGCTCAATAATGATCAATTAGTAAAAAATAATTCTGGGGGAGAGGTAGTGGTGAGAAAAGAAGAGTGTTCTCCAGAACTAGAAGATTCCTGTCTCCTATACTTTCTCAAGGTAAGATAATTCATTTATTGGAGGTGGGCAATCTTGAAGTAAGAGAGCAAGGGTCTTTATTTAACAGTATTCCAGAAGGGAGTTAGAGGAAGAATCTCTGGGTGGCAGTCACTCCTACATTTTGATTAGAAGTGTTTTCAAGATGCTTATCTCTATAGTGTCATGATATACATTTTTAGTAACTAATGAATGGGTTTTTGAAAAGCCCTTCCATAGGGTGAAAACTGAGGTAGCAGCTTGGTTAGAGTTAAACACAGAGCACACAGCCTGTGTATTTATCTAGCTACCAAAGAGGAGCTCCAGTGAGTTTACATTACTAACCTATTATTTGTGGGGAAAAAGCCAGTTAGACTAATATGGATGGCCTGACCTGACTGAAGTGTGGGGGATGAGGTGGGAGTGGCCAGTAGAATGTGCACTGAATTAAGAGGAAAATAATTTCTTACATGATGGGAAGTGTTAATTAAATGAATGAATTTTGTCATTTAATTTTAACTCTGCATAGCAGAGTCTATTGTCCCATTTTACAAATGGGGAAACTGAGGCTCAGAAAGGGGAAGTAACATGATCAAAGTCTCCTAGCAGTGTTTAAACCCACATTCATGTTCTTGAAACCCTTGCTACTCAAAGGGTGATCCAGAGAGCAGCTGCATCAGCATCACCTGGGAATTTGTTAGAAAGTCAGAAACTCAGGCCCCACCTCAGACCTGTTGAATCAGGATCTGCATTTTAACAAGATCCACAGGTGATCTGTATGAACTTTAAAGCTTGAGAAGTGCTGCTTTTCATAATTCTTTGCTGCTGGCATATGACCAGGAATTAGAAACTCAGCTTTGTATCAGTAATGCTGGTGTTATTTGGGGTAAGTCTAAGTTTCAGATGCCTCACCTGTAAAATGAGGGGGACTGGGTTCTTTCTGAGTCCATGTAGTTCCATTTTTGGCCCCCAAAATGTCTTGGACATCATGGCCAGCACAATATCTTCTTTACTTTCAAAAAGCTTGCGAACTATTGCAAATGTACTGCTGGAATCTCTGCCGGGAAATTCCTCTGAGAAGCTAGTAGATGGAGAAATACCACTTCTGACCTGAATACCGAGCAGGGGGACGAACATTAGGAAAAGCACTGGGTTTTTCATTCCTAAGCACAGATAATATGCCCTGTTGAAAAGGAACACATTTCTGAAATAGATATCCCAGAATATCAATTTCATTCCCATGAGGACTGGGACTTTGCAATAAGGGTCATGCCCATGTCACATTATTTTTGATGGAACTACCTCAAGAGAAACAATAAGTACATGGTTAGAACTTCTATTTAGAAAGTTATTATTTGAACATAGTTCTTGCTCTAAAATATGACTAAAACAAAACCTTGAATTGAATGTAGCTTTATCTGAGGAATAACAAAGACTTAGCCATCACTGGAATAGATTTAAAATTATCAGTTGCTTCCTAATAATATCAAACCCAGGTCAGAACCTGCCTAGATGAGGATCCAGTGGTACATTTGGAGTTTTACCTCTGGTAGATCATAGGTACACAATCTCCTCTGAAAAACTGAGCTACTTGGAACATGAATGCATGGGAGCTCGATCTAACATGACTATCTGATACTATCATTTAGAACCAAATTAGAAACAATGCAGTAACTTCCAAAGCCTAGATCTATGGCATCTAGTAGCCCAAAGAACCAGCTCACAGATGACCCCTTTCAGCTCTCTCCCTGATAAGTGTACCTTGGACATATGTTACATTCCATTCAATTTAAAGGGACATTTAAATCTCAGTGCTTTGGGTCTCAGTAGATAAAAATCTCACCCCCTCACCCTCTCAGTGGAGAAGCTGTGGTTATCATTGTTTTCTGTCTTTTAACCTAAGTTTCTAATTGCAGTGCTAACTTCCCTTTGTAAAGAATGAGAAACTGGTTTATTTCCTTCTCCTTCTCTACCTCCTCTTTCTTCTCCTCCTCCTTCACCTGCCCCACAACACACACTTCTCATTCCACTACCGCTTCCAAAATCTGCCTATTAAGTGCCTGCTCCTCTCCCAGAAGTAGACGAGGTGGTGAGAAGCAAGGGGGCAGACAATCAAAGTGGGCTGAGGGGGCTAGCCCGGAAAGCTTCCTGGAGACATGTTGCTGATGAAGGGCCTTGGGCACCTGATACCATGTCACAGGGCCTAAGACAGACTGAGTGGGCTTTCTGAAAAGCACAAGCAAGCTGGAGAAAGGGAACTAGGGAGGAATACTATTGTAAACATGGCCTTCCCCTATAGCACCCATCTAACATGACCCTTTACCACCCACACACACTTTAGGTTATAATGACAGTCTTCAAGAGGAAATGAATGTAGATTGTCCCCCGGGACAGTACTTCATCCAAGATGGAAATGAAGATGAGGACAAGAAGGCCTGCCAATTTAAGCGCTCTTTCCTGAAGAATTGCTCTGGCCTGGAAGACCCTACTTTTGGCTACTCTACTGGACAGCCCTGCATTCTTCTAAAGATGAACAGGGTATATTGGCCCTTGACAGTCTGGTGATAATAAGTGGATGAGCTGAGTAGGAGGGCTCTGGACACCATTTCTCTTGAGTTCTGTCTTCACACACTGCCAGTTTGGCCATTTTTACTGACAGCATCAGTAGTACAAACAACCAGACAAATTATTAAGAAATAATTCTTTTTTTCTCCTTGAATACTTCTTATTTTCATTCTTCTCTCCCCTCCCCAAACCTCCCCCTTTGATGCCCTCTGCCAGGATTGAGACCCTGAGCTGTTTGGAACAAAGGATTGACATGGGGTAGGGTGAGGGACAATTCTCATATCACAAGAAATCCATTTTCCCTCTCTCCTGCCATGGCTTAGGTGTGGCAGAATCTTACCAGGCACACCCCTCTTGAAATCAGAAAATTCTTTACACCTTCAAGGTTAACTTACTGCAATTACCACTGTACGAATATCAGGCACAATACAAGGCATAAGCTGAGCTGTACAGCTCTGAAGATATTTTGCATTTTTTTCTTTTTGTAACATTTCTGAGAGGGCAGAATAAATTAAACTTATGCCTAAGGAAGGGATGACTCAAGGTGAATCTATAAAAGCCTCATTGTTACTGTCAAATCTGTTTTGTTTTGTTTTTTTAAAAAACAACAACACTGGTTTTCTTTTGATAGATTGTAGGCTTTCGTCCTGAGCTTGGAGATCCTGTGAAGGTTTCCTGCAAAGTTCAGGTAAAGTGTATTTTTGAGTAAGCACTGCTAGCACATCTATTTCATGCAAAAGGGTGGTTCATCCCTTCCAAGGCTTTACCTTGGATGGTTGGTTAAGGGTTAGAGAAAGGGTTAATCTTTTCATAACGACAGACACCTGCCTTAATAACTTCAGGCCTCCCTATTTCCAGAAAGCATTAATTTCCTGTGCGTTTGTGGTAGTGTGTGTGTGTGTGTGTGTGCTCATTTATACCTGTGAAAGCCAAAGACTGAACCTCAGCTAAGGCCACAGCGAGGAACAATAATGTGCCAAGTCATTAACTGGGATTCTGTTTACACTTTTGCTTTTAGCTCTAATTACTTATTTCTTTGAACTAAAAAAACAGCTTTCATTAGAGTCATTAGTCCCTGCTTTTAAAACTGAATTTCACTTTTTGTAGCAATGACCAGTGGCACTGGTATTGCAATAACAAATGACTACAAGGGAGTATAAACAGAACTCCATTAATATGCTAATTAACTGTCCTTGGAGGGACCATTAACTCCTATCTCATCTGCCCCAATTAGCTCCTTTGTAGGAAAAAGCCCTAGATCTGGGATTTGCTTCTTAAATTGGCAGTAGATTCCTCCTGTTTGACAACATCAACTGCACCCCCAGCCCTGGAAATTGTCTTGCAATTGTGTGAAGCCAGGTAATGCCATTTTCAGTCCTAGAAATACAGCTCAAAGCTACAATCTTGATGGTGGCAGATCAGAAAGCAGCAAAAGGCAACATTTACTGATCACTTATTATAGATCAGGTACTTGGCTAGGTGCTGGGAGTGCCAAGATAAATAGGACTCTTTGAAATCAGGACAATCAAGTATTACAAGTGCTATGAAAGGTGAAGTGGAGGCCTTGACCAGGAAAAGGTTGGTTCCATGTGGGGGATGGAGATGCTGAAGATGAGCTTTGAAAGGTCAGGCTGCATTTGCCGGGTGAACAAGTTAGAAAGATATTTATTCTGTTCACATGCACGAGAGTATGTGTAAATAAATATACACACAGGTGAGGCATGGCCATAAATTAGTAGAATTGATTCCACATACCATTCACAAAAAATGAATTTCATTGCCTTTTAGAAGAATATGTAAATAATTCATAGAAACCAACTTGATTTGAAACTAGTATATTAATTGGATTGAGTTCTGTTTAGAGTTTCCTAATGGAAGCCATTAATTTTTCAGCCTACGTCGAACCCTGCTGAAAACTGTCCTTTTATTAAAAAAAGAAATATTAAGGGTCTTTATGCGTTCTGTAATAATCAATTCTGATCAAACCTACACCCTCTTGTGGAAATCAGGCAGGATGAGTTAATTACTAGAATAAACTAAAGAAAGCTGTTTATACTAAGGACGATTATACTATATTGACAGAACTCATCACATGACCCTATTGAGTGATTTCCTACTAGTGATTACACAATTTGTCCCTTATTAGCCCCCAGACTCTGCTATTTAGGGCAAGACTAATACATAGGTAGAATGGGCAATGCCCTACCTGGCATGATATGATGAGGGTAGACTTGTTTATTTAATTACTTCCAGTACTGGGCCCTGCTTGCTTATCCTCCTAACTCCACCTACTTTAATTAAGCACGACAGAGGATGTGATAGGGGATATGAGTTTAGGTGAGCCAACTATAGGTTGTAACTCTGTCCACTTGGTCTGACTTCCAACAGAATTGAATCCACAGTGGGTAAATTGCAGTGGGTGAGATTTACTAAACATGTTCCAACTTACACCTGCCTCAGCTCCAAAGTCCAACATTGGGTGCCAGGCTCAGTGTGACTCTTTGGACAGGGGTTGGCATGGTAGGTCCTCTTGCCAGAGTAGCACCAGGTACTGCAAGCTCTTTGGAGCCCTTCTGTCTGGGCCTCCTAGGAGCCAGCACAGAGACATACTGAGCACATTCAGCCTCAGTCCAGGCCTTCTATTCAGTGTTTTTTGAACTGCAAAGCCAAGGCACAGTCTCTCCCTGGAAATGCTCCTCTGGGGATAGGTCTGGGTTGAGCTCTGCCCCATTCTGCTTTCGTGGTCTTCTTGGGACAGGTGGTTGTGGGTCACACAGTGATTTCATCTGGGGCACAGGTCCCTTTAGCTCAGGCTCCAACCAAGTGATCAAGCACCCTTCATGCCTACTTTTACTTACAGAGAGGTGATGAAAATGACATCCGATCCATCAATTACTACCCAGAGTCTGCTTCTTTTGACCTCCGCTACTACCCTTACTACGGCAAATTGACTCACGTAAGCCTGTATCCCCTTCAGTCTTTGCTGTCACAAAGGGCTTAGAGACAAAGGAAAAGCTGGCTGGAATCTATGAGATTAGGGAGCAGAAGATAGTAACAAAGAGGTGAACAGCTGCTTGCCAAGATCAGGAGCCCACTCTACCAATTCCTACCACAAAAACTCCTTTCCATATCTAAAGGAATCTCAGATATAGTCTAACTCCTTCAGTTTACAGATAGAGAAACTAGGGTTCAGAGAGAGGAAGTGACTTGCCCAATGTCACATAGCACTGTGACAGAGCCAAGAGCAGACAAATCACTGCCATTGCACTAAATTATGCCCAAATAATCTCACTTCCCTGTTTCTCCCATGTGAGGCTTTGGGGCAGTGAAAGCTTCTTCTCTAGCATAGAGACTTGACAGATGCTAGTTCTGGTTTGATTCATTGTCTGATATCCAGGAAATCATACCATAATGAGTTAGAATTGGTTTTCCCCAAAGGACAATCAGACATCTGACAATGACTTATGAGAGAAATATGTAATTTCCCCACTGTCCAAGGGCAGAGAGAGCATGTCATTTGCTTTAGCCATTTGTGACTTGTAATCATGGGATTTACTCAGTTCTCTTTCAGAGGTTATCACATTCTGCAATGAATATCTGATCACTTCCATCCTGTTACCCTCCCACACAGCTACCCCTCCTCTAACTTAGAATTCATTGTTCTTCCACTTACAGGTTAACTACACCTCCCCACTGGTGGCAATGCATTTTACAGATGTGGTGAAGAACCAAGCGGTGCCTGTGCAGTGCCAACTGAAGGGCAAAGGCATCATAAATGATGTCATCAATGATCGCTTTGTGGGTAGGGTAATCTTTACTCTGAACATAGAAACCTAAGAATTTCAGGGGGTGACACCCACCAGTTCTGTTTCTGTTTTATTTCATGTTACCACTGGTAGCACCTGAATTCTTTTTCTTCAATCAGGACACAGCCAGATGGACATCTAAGAGCAGATCCTCTTTCCTTGCCTTTGACATATGTATAAAATGACATTATATGGGCTACTTGATTTTTTAAAGGTGGTCTCTCCTGATGACAGATTATATTAATTTCCTTTCCCCCCACTTAAAACTAAAACCATTCTTGCTGCTAGAAGTCTCACTATAGGGCAAACATAGTATATGATAAAATTCACAGTAGCCATGAAGAATAATTTCTATGATGACTATAAATTCATTGTGTTTTCTAAAACTTTGTTGTTTTTAGAGGTGAGATTCCTCCCAACCAGGCTGATAAATCTTTTTTTTTTTTCCCACCTGCTTGGCAAGGCCCTTCCATGGGAATCACCAATCAGACCAACCCAGAATATATATAGGGCCACCATACCTAGGGAATTCTATATCCAGGAATGCTTGAAAAACTGGCTGCCTCTCATGGGCAACTAAATACTGATTCAAAGGCTAAGGTACCTTCAACTGAAAGCAGTGCTAACTGGATATTGTTCTGGAGAGAGATGAAGACTTCCCCTAAGATTTTTGTGGGGGAAGTGAGGCCCACTGCAATTAGGGAGAACACCTACTACGTGAATGTGATTGGTATTTGATTCCTCACTCTATGGTGAAATCATCCAAAGGCAAACATTCCTGCAAGCAGGGTTGTCTCAGCTTCAGGTAGAGGAGAGAACAAGAAAGAAATCTCTATCAGCTATTTCTTTTTGGGCTGTTTGTTTGACAGTAGTATGATGTTCTTTGAGACCACGATGGATGGGTGTGTTGTCCCTCAGCTACAGCTCTAGGGATTGAAATCAGAGTCAGCCAACTGATTCAGTATAAGACAGAAAGCCCCTTCCAGGCCACCCTAATTCAAGGCCCATTAGCCAGCTTTTCATTTGCTTAAAAAATGATATGAAGCAGATGTTTCTCTAGGCTATGGATCAGCCAAGCTGCTTTGTCTTATCTTTGGCCATGTGACCATTCCACTGCTTCTTAGCACCTGCACCAGAGGGAGGGATGGGACAAGGAGAAGAAGCAAACAGTAGAGAATAGCATAGTGTCTCAGGGTCCAAAGCAAGCTTAAATGCCACCTAGAAACATCCAGAGTCTGAACCTCCTCTATAATGTTTACCTTCTTCGTAAACAGGGAACTAGTAGTCTGGTAGTGAAGACAAACAAGTGAAGAAGTAACTATGATATAGTGTGACAAGAGTTATCAAACTAGTATGTGGAAATGTTATTGGAGCATGAGGAAAAGTTACTAACTTGAGCTAAGAAAGTAGCAGGAGAAATTTCACATGCAAAGTCACAATCACGAAAGACCATGGTGTGTTTGGTTAACTGTGAGCAGTTCTTGTCATTGGAGTGTAAAGGGCTCAGGGAAATGGCAGGGAGTGGCAGGGGATTGGGCTAGAGAGGTATGCAGGTACTAAAAGAGGACTTTGAATTTTATCCAGTAGATGAAAAAGAGTCATTAAAGCATTCTAAGCAGGGAATCTCTGTGATCATATTTGCATTTTAGAAAGAGCACTTTGGCAGCCACAATATGAAGGGTAGATTGGAGAGGAACAAGACTGGGGAATGGGCAATGAGGGACAAAGAAAAGTCAAGAATGACCCCAAGGTTTTGAGCTTGGCTAGAGCCAGTGAGATGGTGATATTTTTTATCAAGACTGGGAATCCAAGAGAGAAGCAAGATTGGAGAGGAAGATGTTGAGATCAATTTTGGACATTTTGGGCTTGTGATTTCTATTGCTCAGACATTGATGTGGAGATGTAAACACTAGTTGGGTTGGGGAGAAGGAAATCTGAGAACAAAAGCAACATTTGCTTAAGTGAACTCTCTTAAGAAATTTTAAGCTATTTAATTTGGGGAATTTGAGCCAGTTATGTAAACACATCACACCAATCTAGTCTCTCAGATAGTGTTTTTCTCTTGGTTTTGTGGCAGAAAAGGCTGCTGCTCCTTGGAATCTCCTTCCCAGACACCTTCTAACTCCTGCCAACTCTTAACAACAGAGTAGAGGGGGGCTGACCACTATTAACAAGTAATAGAAGATATATGACAAAAGATCTGTGGAAAATACAAAAAAAAAAACCCAATGAAACTGTCTCCTCCCAACCCCTTTCCTTACCAAACTTGATTTTTAAAACTAATCTTAAAAAAATAGACAAGATGCTTGAAGACAACAACTTTAAAACCAGTTGTAAATCACCTCAAATAACCTCTCAAGTAGATGAAAAAGATAATAACATTAAATCTGAAAAGGATAGTAGAGAGCATTTAGGGAAAACAACCTGCATTGCATCTGACTCCAGGTCCAGTGCTCTTTCTACTCTGAGCTGCTGCTTACCAGGAAGTACCATCTTTTTAAAAATCAATGAATGATATCCCAAACATTTTGAAACATATGTCAAATGTGAATTATAATAGTTGACATTTCACAGGAATTCAACTACTGGTGCTATACTTTATACATAATACATTATCCTGTTAAATACGTTAACTATTAAACAAACAAGGAATTATGAATCTTTTGTCATACAGTATTTCTCACTCAATGGGATCCATTGTTTCCACAATTTCAAAGAAGTGTTGAAAAGTACTTGGATAGTTTGGGTTGTCAGCTGGGACATGAACAAATACCTTCATTATACAGAACTGGATATTAAATATAATCATTAGAATTGAATTCTAACAGTTCAAAACTTCTAGTGGACTAATTTAAATAGTCCCCCATACTGTGCTGTACCAGTATTTGATTTGTATACCATTTGTTGCAATGCACTTGGTTTTACTTGATTGTCAATGAGAAATACTACTTCAAAATGCCTTCATAGTTTTGTCCTTGCTTAGACTTGTGATTTTTTCACCCCTCCCCTCTCTGAAATAATTATCCTAAAGTAACCTTTCATAGGATCTTCATGTAGAAAACATTAGTATTGTCTTGGTAACTTATTGACAACAATAAATAGATTTTAAAAAGAAGTGTATGATTTCCTCTTTCTAGACTGTACCACTGATTTTCCCACAGGATTATTGGGCAGCTATGTAGGTGGAAAACTTGACAAGTGGCAGTTTATTAATTTAAGACTTTTTCTCCCGTACCCTCACCCTTTTTCATCTCTTGGGGTTTAGTCACAAGAGGATGAAACTAAAAGTTGTTTCATTCTGAGCATTTTTCCTTTTGCAGTCTCCATGCTCTGATTTCTCAAAAGACTACTTTGTCAGAGTAAACTTCCTTTCTTCATCAAGGTTGAGTTCAGGTATTAAATGTTCTATGTGTTTGTGTACGAGAACACTAAGAGAAAGTTTGAGGTGGGGAGAAGGAACCAAAATCCAAAAGAAACTTCAATTGCTTGATGGAAGATTGGCTAAGTGACTTCAGCGCACATCTGGCCACAAACAGTCTCTCAGAACAAATCTCTATGGTAATTGCAATTAATGACAGAAATATTTCACTCCCTTGTTTGATTCAGAGACTAGGCTGCAGTAGGAATCCCTTCTTTCCTTGGAAGCTTCCCTGGCCTAAGGTCTACTAACTGATATGGTTTCATTGCAGGGAGGTCCGTGACCCCAGTATATTTCCTCCATCTAGGTTCTTCATTAGTCATTTTCCTTACTGACTTCCTCTTAAAATATTCAAACATGATAGAGCAATTTAGCCAAATCATACAGAAATGTGATTTACACTATGATTTTATCCAAGCAGAAAATAGAGGTTAGTGTGTGTGTGTGTGTGTGTGTGTGTGTGTGTGTATGTTGAGAGGTGGGGGAGGAACGGGATGGATGGAGGCAAAGGGCAAGGGAAAAGGACTTGAAAGGCCGAATAGCCCTGCCTACTTCACAGAGTTCTTTAGTTTCAGGGTAGGAGGAAAGAAAAGCTGATAGGGGAATTCAAAAAGTTTAAGAAGGATGTAATGGGCTCTTAATCTAGCAGCTGAATCTTCAGGATATACTTCCTTGTAGGCTCCTGTATGGGCATAACATCAGTCAGGGTTCCAACAAGAAATAGTACACTTGACAAAATGGAATTGGAAGGGGGGTATTTATAAAGAGGTTACTTATAAATGTGTAGATATAGAGAACCACAGAGAATAGCACAATAACAGGCTAGAATAAGCTAAACTCTTACCTTTCCTAGACCCTAAGGGACAAGGGTAGGAAGTGGTTCCCAGAGCCTTGAAGGACTGAGTCAAGTACAATTGACTATCTTGAGAGGAGTGGTGACTTGTTGAGAGGCTAACTTAGCCCAAGGTGACCTTGTAATGAGGGAAACAGAAGAATAAATACCTTACTTAATTTTCCTCCCTCTCTCTGATCTCCTGATGGTAAATTCACCAAACCCAACCAAAAGCCAGAGGGCAAGGAAGTTCACTGATGTCCATACAGATCAGCCTCCCAAGGAAGAAAGCAGAGTAGAGCAGGGTAGAGAGTGCATTTGGAGGGGAGAACAGGAGATATCTAACACAGCCACCAAGTGAAGGTTCTGTGGGCAGACTCCTTGGAGCCTGATACAGTGCTGGAAACATCTACTGAACCAACTCCAGTGACTGGGAAATTTTATCTTCATGCATACTTTGCTCTGTGGCTATGGGGTCAGAAGCTTTCCCATTATAGAAATTCTTTTCTCTATTATTTAATGCCCATTCCATTTTCAATCCTCCTTCATACTTTCTTAATCTTGTATCCTTGGGTATATCATTTAGAACTCTTTTGTTTGCAAGTAACAAAACGAACACATAAATTGAAAAACACACACACACACCAAAAAACAACCCTCAAATTGACTTAAAGATAAAAGGGAATTTACTGAATCACTGAAAAGTCAAGGTGTATTTTGACTTCAGGCATAGCCAAGTTCAGGAACTCAAAGATGTCATTAGGAGCCAGTCTCTCTCCATCTCTCAATTCTGCTCTCCATCATGTTGGCTTCATTCTCAGGCTCTGCAAATCAAGATAGACTTCCCTTATAGGCAAGCATTACTAGACCTAAACTCTTAAAGGCTAATGTCCACTTGAAAAGATAGTTTCTCTTCCCTGATAGTTCAAATAAAAATTCTGAGTCTCTCATTGACTTGATTTGGATTCTGTGCCCATCCCTGAACCAATCTCTGTGGCCACAGGGAGCAACTTTTCTAGTTGGCCAGGCTTGAGTCACATGCCCACCCCTGAAACTCAGGGTAATAGCAATACCACTCAACCTGCCTGGATTGAAAGTCAGGGAGAGATGATCCTCCTGAGGAAAACTGAAGTGATAGTACCAAAGAAGGGTGAATGAATGTGAAGTGGGAGATAGAATAGATGTCCACTACATTTTGTCAAACAGTGTCTTGTCAAATCCTACACCTACTTAAGGTTGTATCTGAACTTTTCGACTAAAATCTTTTCAAAATTTTAACATTAAGATGTTCAAAGAACTGTTCTTTCACCCTACCTTGGCATTTTCTCAACTCTTTTGCTTGGAAGAAAGGGAAGGTGGACAGAGAAAGTTGCCACCTTAATTTAGTCTGCTTTGTCTTTACCAAAGAAAATTCTATAATTCAAGTCAGCCTTAGAAGTCTGGCTTACATAAAACTTTTTTTTTTTTTTCCCAGAAGAGAATGATATAACATTCATAAAACAGTTAACTTGACTCAGAAAACTATTTGACTTACATCAGAAACAAGCATGTTCACAAATGAGAAGTAGGATGAGGATGACATCCTTTCCCACCTCTCTAATCCTCTAGCTGCTGATATATATATAGAAAATCCTAAGGAATGTACTAAAAGACTATTAGAGCTAATAATAAGGTTGCCAAGATAAAAGATCAGGATACAAAAATCAGTTGTGTTTCTATACACTAGCAGTGAACAATTCAAAAGTTAAATTAACAAGTCAATTCCATTTACAATAGTATAAAAATAATAAAACACTTAGGAAAAGACTAACAAAAGAAATGCAAGACTTGTACACTGAAAATTACATAGTATTTTTGAAGTAAATTCAAGAACAAAATAAATGGAAAGACATCTGTGCTCATTAATTAGAAGATTAATATTGCTAAAATGTCAATAGTCCCCAAATTGATATACAAATTCCATATAATCCTTTCAAAATTCCAACTTCCTCTTTTCTTCAGAAATTGACAAGGTGATCCTAATACTCATATAGAAATGTAAGGGACCCAGAAAATCCAGAATAATCTTGAAAAAGAAGAACAAATCTAGAAGACCCATACATGCCAATTTCAAAATTTACTACAAAGCTAGAGTAATTAAAACAGCATGGCACTGTCATAAGGGTAGACATATTGATCAATGGAATAGAATTGGGAGCCCAGAAATAAACCTACACATCTATGGCCATTTGATTTTTGAAAATGGTGCTACATCCATTCAATAGTCAAAGAATATTGTCTTCAATAAATGCTGCTGGGACAATCCACATGCAAAAAAAAAAAAAAAAAAAAAAAAAAAATTTTAACCAAGATTGCTGGGAAGCCCTCAGATGTTTCACACACATAATGTCTTTGATATACACCAGGCACTTGTTCTTTATGAAAGACTGAACACATCCATGGTGGAAATTCTAAAATTTAAGTACAGTTTCACATTTTACTCATGTTTCAGATTTACTGTCTATACAGATTATTGGGTCTAGAACAGCTAGATAATAAAGACAAAGTGTAGTTCATTTGACAGTAAATATTTGCTATTGCACAGGGAATTCTTTGAAACAGTCTCCAGGTTTCCTAATTCATCTCCCTCCTCTTTTTTAATTTTCAGAGTTCATAATGTATAAATGCCACAATATTTAGAGTAGTTTTGTATCCTGGATGGATCTTTTAACACTAATCAATAGAAAGGAGCTGGGCAGTAGGGAAGGTTGAGGTCACTCAGTTTCTGAAAAATGTCACAAAGTTATTTTTTATTCAAGAAGAGACATGTTCTTAATTTTTTCTGGTGGTTTTCTCTATGTCAATAGATCACATAATGTTGTACTAGTTTGTAAATTCAAAATGATTTTCTTTAAATTAGGATGCATGTACACAAATACAAAAACAATCACAAACCTATTGTTCAGCTGCTTAAGATATATTAATGAGAAAAGCACTAAGCCACAGAAGTATGCATTCCAGGATCAATGGTACACACATTTAGAGTGCAGTAAGACACTGTGATAGGATNCATATACAAAAATTAACCCAAATGGATCAAAAAACTAAATGTAAGAGCTAAAACTAGAAAACTCTTAGAAAAAAACAGACATAAATCTTTGTGATCTTGGAGTAAACAATGGTTTCTTAAATACCAAAAGCACAAGTGACAAAAGAAAAATAGATAAATTTGACTTCATCAAAAATTGAAAACTTTTATGCTTCAAAGGACACTATCAAGAAAGTGAAAATATAAAGTACAGCATAGGAAGTGTAGTCAATAATATTGTAATAACTATGTATGGTGCCAAGTGGGTACTAGAAATGTCGGGGGAACATTTTGTAAAGTATATGCTTTGTCTAACCACTACACTGTACACCTGAAACCAACACAAAATAATACTGAATGTAAAATGTAATTGAAAAATAAAATTTAAAAAAGAGAGAGTCTAATTTGTAAATACACAGTTGTGATAGAGGTAGTATTTAAAATTATGGCAGTGAACAAGCTCATCCAAGAAGAGCATATAGAATGAAAAGAGGAGGGATCTGAGGACAAAACTGGGGAAACACCAACTTTGGGGCCTTGGACTGAAGAAGAACAAGCAGTTTAAAGAAACTAAGAAAGATAAGGCAGAGGGATAGGAGGAACATCACTAGAATGTGATGTCGCAGGAACCAAGACAGGATGGAATGGTCAACAGAATCAAACCCTATTGAAAAATCATGTGAAAATTAACTTTCAAAGTATCCACTAGATTTTGTACTGGAGTAGGGACTGCTGGTGACCTTATCAGAGAATTTTCACTAAATTGGAGGGGGGCAAAAAACAAAGTGCCCCAGGTTG